GAACCAACGGGGGGGGGAAAGCCAACCAGTCGGGGAGGGGGTAGCCAAGCCAGAGTCGGGGGGGTAAGCCAAGCCAGGCGGGGGGGTGGAACCCAAGCCAGAGTCGGGGGGGTGGTAACCCAAAAGCCAGTGCGGGAGGGGTAAGCCAAGCAAGTCGGGGAGGGTGGTAAGCCAAGCCAGAGTCGGGGAGGGTGGTAAGCCAAGCCAGAGTCGGGGAGGGTGGTAAGCCAAGCCAGAGTCGGGGAGGGTGGTAAGCCAAGCCAGAGTCGGGGAGGGTGGTAAGCAAGCCCGGAGTCGGGGAGGGTGGGTAAGCCAAGCCAGAGTCGGAGGTGGTAAGCCAAGCCAGAGTCGGAGAGGGGTGGAAACGCAAGCCAGAGTCGGGGGGGTGGTAAGCCAAGCCAGAGTCGGGGAGAGGTGGTAAGCCAAGCCAGAGTCGGGGAGGGTGGTAAGCCAAGCCAGAGTCGGGGAGGGTGGTAAGCCAAGCCAGAGTCGGGGAGGGTGGTAAGCCAAGCCAGAGTCGGGGAGGGTGGTACCAAGCCAGGGGCCGGGAGGGGGGTAAGCCAAGCCAGAGTCGGGGGAGTGGTAAGCCAAGCCAGAGTCGGGGAGGGTGGTAAGCCAAGCCAGAGTCGGGGAGGGTGGTAAGCCAAGCCAGAGTCGGGGAGGGTGGTAAGCCAAGCCAGAGTCGGGGAGGGTGGTAAGCCAAGCCAAGTCGGGGAGGGTGGAAGCCAAAGGGCAGAGTGGGGGAGGGGTGTAAGCCAAGCCAGAGTCGGGGAGGGTGGTAAGCCAAGCCAGAGTCGGGGAGGGTGGTAAGCCAAGCCAGAGTCGGGGAGGGTGGTAAGCCAAGCCAGAGTCGGGGAGGGTGGTTAAGCAAGCCAGATTTCGGGGAGGTGGTAAGCAAGCCAGAGTCGGGAAGGGGGGTTTGGTAAGCCAAGCCAGAGTCGGGGAAGGTTTGGTAAGCAAGCCAAATCGGGGAGGGTGGTAAGCCAAGCCAGAGTCGGGGAGGTTGTAAGCCAACCCAGATCGGGGAGGGTGGTAAGCCAAGCCAGGCCCGGGGGGTGGTAAGCAAGCCAGGTCGGGGAGGGTGGTAACCCTAAGCCAGAGTCGGAGGAGGGGGTTTAAAGAGAAAGCAATTGGGGAGTGGTGGGTAGGAAGCCGAGTGGGAGGGTGTGGTAATGAAGAAAGGGGGGTGGTTGAAAGGGAATATGGTGGGGAGTGGTGGTGGAGAGTGGGGAGGGTGGTAAGAAGGTGGTGGGGTGGTGGTGACCGGTGGTGAGGGGTGGAGCAATGGGGGGAGGTGGTGGTATTTGGGTGGTGTAGAAAGTGGGGGGTGGATTTGGTATAGTGGTGGTTTGTGTAGTGGTGGTATTTTGGGGGGGTGGTAGTAGTGGTGGTAGTTGTAGTAGTAGGTGGTGGGTATTTGTAGGTGGTTTGGGGGAGTGTGGTAGAGTAGTGTGGTGGGGTGGTAGTAGGGGTGGCAATACTGGTGGTGGTATGTAGTTGGTGGTAGAAGTGGTGGTTGGGTAGTATGGTGGTATTAGTGGTGGTTGTAGTAGTGGTGGTAGTAGTGTTGGTGGTAGTAGTGGTGGGTAGTAGTGGTGGTGGTATAGTGGATGGTTGAGTGTAGTTATAGTTGTAGTAGTGTTAGTAGTGTAGTGGTAGTAGTAAGTGTGGTATAGTGGTGGTGGTTGTTATAGTGTGGAAAGTGGTGTAGTAGTAGGGGTAGTAATTTGGTAGTAGTGCGGTAGTAGTAGTGGTAGGTATGAGTGGTGGTGGTAGTAGTAGTAGTAGTAGCAGTAATAGTAGTAGTAGTGGTAGTAGTAGTTAGTAATTGGTAGTATTAGTGGTAGTAGTTAGTAGTAGTGGTGGTGGAGAAGTTTTGTAGTAGGTTTGTGTATTTGTAGTATTATTGTGTAGTGGGTTGTAGTAGTAATTTAGTGTAGTAGTAGTGTGGTAGTAGTAGTAGTGGAGTAGTAGTAGTAGTAAAAATAGTGGTGGATATTTGTAGTATGGGTAGTGAAAGTATTTGTAGTAGTTATAGTAGTATTTTAGTAGTGTTGTAGTAGTTGTTTTAGTGTAGTTAGTAGAAAGGTGGTAGATAGTGGTAGTAGTGTGGTAGAAAGTAGTAGTTAAGTAGTAGTAGTAGTAGTAGTTGTAGTAGTAGTAGTAGTGGTAGTAGTTAGTAGTAGTTGTAGTAGTAGTTATGGGTAGTAGTAGTGGGTAAAAGTAGTAGTAGTAGTTGGTAGTAGTTGTAGTAGTTAGTAATAGTAGAAATAGTAGTATAGTAGTAGTAGTAGTGGTAGTAGTGATTTGGTTAGTAGTAGTTGTAGTAGTAGTAGTAGTAGTAGTATAGTGGTAGTAGTATTTAGTAGTAGTAGTGGTAGTAGTATTTAGTAGTAGTAGTAGGGGTGATGTAGAAATAGTAGTAGTAGTTTTTTAGTAGTTGTAGTAGTGAGTGGGGATAGTAGTAGTATTTATTTTAGTAGTTAGAGTAATAGTAGTAGTAGTAGTAGTAGAAATAGTAGTAGTATTAGTAGTGTAATAGTAGTATTTAGTAGTATAGTAAGTGTAGGTAGTAGTAGTAGTTAGTAGTAGTAATAGTAGTTAGTAGAAATAGATAAGTAGTTATTTTAAAAGTAGTAGTAGTAGTATATTTAGTGGTTTAGTAGTGTAGTAGTAGAAATTAGTAGTAGAAAGTTTAAAAATTATGGTAGTAGTAGTAGTAGTGGTTTTAGTAGTAGTATATTAGTAGTGGTTAGTAGTAGTAGTAGTGGGTAGTAGTAGTAGTAGTAGTAAAGTAGTATAGGTAGTATAGTAAGTAGTAGTAGTAATAGTAGTAGTAGTAGTGGTAAATAGTAAGTTAGTAGATAATAGTAGAAAGTAGTATTTTGGTAATAGTAGTGGGTAGTAGTGGTAATAGTAGTAGTAGTAGAAATGTAGTAGTAGTAGTGTAATATGGTAGTAGTAGTAGTAGTAGTAATGTAGTGGAATAGTAGTAGTAGTAGTGGTAATAGTTAGTAGTATTTAGTAGTTAGTATATAGTAGTAGTAGGGGAAAATAGAAAGTAGTAGTAGTAGTGGTAAATAGTATAGTAGTAGTAGAAAGTAGAAATGTATTTGTAGTATGTAATTAGTGGTAGAAAGTAGTAGTAGTATAGTAGTAGTAGTTATGTAGTTTAGTTGGGTAGTGTAGAATAGGTAATAGTGTAGTAGTAGTGGTTTAATGGTAGTAGTAGTGTTTAGTAGTATTTAGTGTAGTATTGGTAATAAAAGTATAGTAGTATTAGTAGTAGTAGTCATTGTACTATATATTTAATAAAATACGAGTATCTTAATATGTATAGCGCGCACATCTCATACTACATCTGCCTCACAATAACCCCATTTTAGACTACTTATGACAACTTATCAAACGTTTCGAACCCGTCCTGGAGAACAACACCGTCTAACATTCCCCCCCTCCCCCCACCCCTTCCTACAAATCTTTAGTCATGGGAAAAGGTCACTGTTAGCGAGTAAATAAATTTACAGGAGACAGCGGTAGCCACAGCGGCCGTGGCATAAGGTCTCAGTGACCCTGCGAAGATTTTAATTACTCCTTGCAGAGGCAATAAAGCTTTATGAGAGTCTTATCTGGTCATGCAAGTGAAGGACCTCGCCAACAAATTTAATGCACGGAGGGAAGGCGGGTTGGATGGGGAGA